TAATTGAGATTTGTAAAGGTTTTCATAGAACTTTTTAAAGATGTCATTAATTGCTGCAGAATCAAAAAACTGTTTTCCGTTTGAATCTGTGATTGAAGAAATAGACTGAGAATTAGACTTCTTTTTTGTTAAATGTGCTAAGTATTTTCCAGGTTTATTGCCATGTTCATATAACCTTTGCCTTGCAAATCTAATTTTAATCTCTGCCTCCTTAGTCAGTAGACAGTCAAGTGATGAACGAAGAGCAGTTATTTCCTTAAGTTTGTGTGTTGAGGGTTTTTTAATATAGTTTTCTTCAGCAAACTTTAGTTTAGATTCTAAAATTTTTTGCTGCTCAGTTTGTCTGTGCCTTTTATAACTTGTATAGGAAGTAATGAGACCTCTTGAATAGGCCTTTGAGGTCTCCCAAAGTAATGACGAATTATCAGTGGAGGGAATATTAATAACTAAGAACTGTTTGAATTCTTCTATAAAATAAGTTATGAATTTTTGATCATAAAAGATAGAGGAGTCAAGGTGCCAACGTTTGTTTTGAGGACACAGATTTCCAATTTTACAATTAATAAAGACTGCAGCATGGTCGGAAATCACTATGTTACCAATTGAACTGGACATTATTGATGATACTATACTGTTCGGGACAAAGAAGTAGTCTATTCTTGTATAGCACGAATGCACTTTGGAGAAGAATGTAAATTCTTTGTTTACCATATGTTGAGTTCTCCATACATCCACGTAGTCCAGCTCCTCACATAAAGCAATGAGAGTTTTGGCCTGGCGAAGAAGACCGAAACTGCCTTGAGGAGATTTATCCATAATTGGGTTTAGGTGGCAGTTAAAGTCCCCCCCAACAAATGAGTTCTTGATATTTAGATTCACTAGCTTTGTAAAAGCAGTGATCATGGATGGCCAGGAGGGAAGTAAATATTCAAGATTGCAATGTCCTCCCCATATAAAACACCTCTCACTATGACATAGCGACCACCTTCATCCTTTATGCAGTCAGTTGGTTTAAATGGTAAATGCCTGCTAATTAAAATAGCTGTGCCTCTGCTCCTTGATGAGAACGAAGAGAAAAATACCTGTCCAAACCCCCCTGAGCTAATTTAAGATGTTCTATAGAATCCAGATGCGTCTCCTGTAATAAGGCTATGTGAATCTGCTCTCTCTTAAGATAGTTCAAAACCTTTCTCCGCTTAATGGGTGTGTTAATGCCATTTACATTCCAAGAACACATATTTAAAGTTGACATAATAGTATTTCAAGAAAATAGGGTAGGATAAACACTGTATACATTTCCATTTATTGGTCGTAGCATAAATATACAAAACAAAAAGGAAAAGAGAAAAAAGGAAAAGCCGGATGAAAATATAACAAACAATCTAAAACAAAACAAATAGATCATGCCCAACATTGGCACAAAAAAAAAAAAAAAAAAAAACTTAACACTGTCCTACTCCTAACTGGAGAGGCTAAGTGTAAAGGCTTTCTAGCTGCAGAAGATAGCTTCCTACTCAGAAGGGTAACAGCGACACCCCAAACGCAATAAAAAGAAGAGAAAAACTACTGTAAATGTAGCTGCAACGCCATCAATGCCCCTTAAATATTAAAACCAATCTATCCTTCATTCTCAGCATTAACGCAATAGTAACGGGGAAAAAAAGAAAAAAAAAGGGATAAGATAAAAATGAATTATACAAGAGAAAAAAAAAACGAGGAGAAATTAGATGTCAGTAGCACGCAGTCACTCAAAACGCACCGTTGAAAACCCCACAACCACAAACGAGCAAAAAAGCACTTCAATTTCAGTCCAATGTTCACTCACCATCAGTAGCAGGAGTGGCATCTAACGATTTAATAAAGTCTTTCACCTCAGATGCATCTTTATACACCTTAGTTGAGCCGTTGTAGGTTATCTTCAGCAAAGCAGGGTAGATATGTCTGTAGTCGGCACCAATGGCACGAAGAAGCTTCTTCACATAATCAAAACTTTTTCGTTTACGAACCACAGCAGCCGAAAAATCCTGGAATATCATCACCGTGGCGCTCCCGTGCTTCAAGGGTCGGTTATTCCTGCCCAGCTGGAACGCTGCATTCATAATACGCTGTTTGTCTTGAAAATTATGCAGCCTCACCAGCACCGGGCGAGGTCTTGGCTCGGAGGACGGCACCTGATTTGGAGTGCGATGCGCTCTGTCTATTTTAAGTCGGCCCGTTTTTGTTTTAATGTGAAGAAGTTCTGGCAGCCAGGTCTCAAAGAAACGAGTGGGATCGTTGCCTTCAGCCTTTTCCGGTAGGCCAACAATGCGGATATTCTTCCTTCTCCCCCTGTTTTCTAGATCATCAGCACGCTCCGTCAGGTCCTTCACCCGCTTTCCCAGCGATTCGAGTTTGTCAATGGACGGGACCGAGTCATCCTCTATAGCTGAGAGACGGGTTTCAATCTCTTTTATGCGTGTTTCATGGTCTTCCAAATATTTACCATGCGTCTGTAAGAGCAGAGAGACTGGCCCGAGTTTCTCTTCGATAACTTTAGTGAGATTCGCAGTGACTTCACGAATCACCTCGCGTAGTGCTGGATCCATTCCTTCTGACACGGTGCTAGCAACCATGTTAGCTTCACTGCTCTGCGGCCTGGGATTCTCCTCGGCGTCGACTGTTGGAGTTTTCCTGCGTGGCATATTGTCAGACTGAGTCGAAAAATATCTACTAATACTCATCGCAGTGTCGCAGAAAGAGAATGAAAGTGTTCTAACATTATTCGTGGGGTATAAGTGGAGAAATATAATGGAGTGGCGTGCTAACACTCCAAAGCACGACCGCACCTCAAGCCGCCATATTGAAAAAAAGCCTGCCTATATTGATAAATGTATAGCATGTGTTTTCAATTGATCTTGTTGCGGCAAGGGCCGAGGACCCAAATTTGGGTCCTCTAGCGAATGACACCGACATTACTGTGAAAGTCTGACTGCAAAGTTCCTGGAGAA